AAATCAGACTGAGGAGATCTACTGTTTTAAGTTTCAACCTCTAAGAAAGAAAGAATACCAATGCATGCAAAGTATCCCAAGAAAGAAAATGAGAAAATTCTCCTCATCTTAATTTGTAAAGTCAGCACAATCTTTTTTTTGTGTGTGTGTGTGTGTCTTTTTGAGCTGGATCTCGCTATGCAGTTCAGGCTGGCCTTGAGTTCACTTTGTAGCTGAGGCTGGTCTCGAACTTGCAATGATCCTCCTGTCTCAGCCTCCTGAGTGCTGGGATTACACACATGTACCACCATGCCTGGCACATTCCCTTGTTATGGGAACTTGACAGGGAGACTGTAAGAAAGGACTAGAACAAGTTAATGTCTCTCATGAGCACAGATATAAAAGATGAAATAAAATCTAAGGAAACCAAATGCAATGATAACACGAAAGACTACATCAAGGTCAGGTAGTATTAATAATATTCAAAAGTCAGCCAACATAATTTCCTGTATCAAGCAAACAAGAGGAAACTCATTTGTTTATCTCAGTAGCTCCAAAAAAGTTGACTACATTCAGTTCACACGTAGTATATATGCCTTGGAAAACTCGCCTACCTAGTTGCTTAAACTAAGAAGTTGCGTCAAAGGGAGCAGATTATGTTACCTCAAATACATGTCATTTGTGTAACCCCATAAGGGTTATTTTTAACCAAAGACAACTGACAAGAAGCAACATAAGAGAGTTACTTTTTTCTCTCCCTATTTTCCTAAAAGCAGCGCATATATTTACAAGAACGTCTCTCTTCCCTTCTCTACCATGAATAGTAAACAGGTGAAGATGAATTGAGATCCTTACAAGCCTAGAGATGGCAGCAGAGAAATCAACATAACAAACTCTACTAACCAGTCTTTACTTACCATTAGGCTGCTATGTATTTTTCTTTCCACAGTATATCATCCCAAGAAACTCAAAGATTTTTTCTATCTTGTCATTTAAAAAAAATTATTACTTTCTATTGCAGACGCTACATAAATTGAAGTTCTAGGCCATCTTGATGAGACTCACTCATTTTCTGAGTATCTCTTTGGTGTATATGAAATACACATGTTCATAAACTTGGTAGATTTTTTTTTCCTGTTTATTTGTCTTTTGTTGCAGGACACGCCAGCCAAGAATTTAGGGAAGAGGGAAAATTATGTTCAATCCCCTGCATGAATGGCTAGCATCATACTTAATGGCAAAAATGCTTTTCCTCTGAAATTACCAGTAAGACTTGAAATTACTTTTAAAATTAAGATCACATGTAACAACATGAGGACATCACTCCCAGGCCCAAATTTGAGAATAACACAGTGGAGTGCAGTATCGTCGCTTTTATTCTATTATATGTGAAAGGTCCTAGCTGAGGCGACAGACATGAGCAAGTTTATACGTGCGATATAAGCATTGGAAAGAAAAAAAATAAAAACCTTTATTTGCATATATTATGTACCATAAACATTAAAGAATATGAATATGGGGATAACATTGAAACAAACTTTATTTTGATACTGGAAACCAAGTCAATAAAAGGTTAATTTTATTTTCATAAACTAGCAATAGGCAATTAGAAAATGAAGCTAATGTACCATTTACAGGAATAAAGACTCAAGTAGGTATGCATAATAGAGCAAAATACATGCAAGGTCTACCCACTGAAATTTATAAAATATTTCTGAGACAAATTAAAGACCAATAGAAATAAAGAGATAAGCAGTGTAAAATGATTTGAAAAACTATGGCTAAGTTCTAGGCCATCTTGATGAGAATTACTCATTTTTTGAGTATCTCTTTGGTATATATGAAATATACATGTTCATAAACTTGGTAGATACTTTTTTCCTGTTAATTTGTCTCCAATCGATTATCATCCAATTGATCTCCATATTTAAGGCAGCTCTACCCAAAACCCCATCAGAGTTTGTGTATGTGTATAATTTATGAAGTTGTTTCTGAAGTTTATGTGGAAAACTAAGGACTTAAAGGAGATAAGACAATTTAGAAGTAGAACAAATTCGGTGGATGAATGCTATTATATTTCAAGACTCCTGATAAAGGTGAACTAATTGAGACATTGTAGTGTGGGCAGAAAGATATGCACATAAGATCAGGGAAAAAATGGAGTCTGTACACGGGGCGTGGTGGTTCACACCTGGTAACCTCAGCACTGGGGAGGCTGAGGCAGGAGGATTGTTGTGAATTCAAGACCAGCCTGAGCTACAAAGTGAGACCCTGTCTCAGAAAGACAATAAAAAAGTAGAGACTCTATAAATAGTTTAAAACAGATCTAGAAATAGATCTAGAATAGTGACCTAGATGGTCACTTTATAACAAAAGGATTATTGTAAGCTAATTAGTAAGAATGGCTTTTTCCATAATACTTTTCCATCAGGCTATTTGTGTAAGAAATAAACTTTGAGTCTATTTCATTATATTCATGCATAGAAGATAATCCAAAGTGCAGGGCAAAGAAAAGCAAGTTTATAGAAGGGAATAATGGATAATTGCTGGCCAATCCTGTAGTAGAAAAGGATTACTTAACCAGGACTCAAAAAAATTCTTGTGATCAGTCTTCTAGTTACAAAAGAAAACGATTGGGTAAGTGGTCTTTAATTAAGACGATAAAATATAAGACCCAAACTAGATGATATTAAAATGATCCCTTTTCTATCTATAGATTCATATCTAAAACAGTACACCTACAGATACATGAGAAAAACTTAAATAAAACTCAATAGACTCTTTATAAAAGGATGTCCAAATGACTAATATGCATATAAAAAATTGCTCAGCATTATTATTATTATCTTATTGTTTTTGAGATGAGGTCTCATCATGTCATCCAGGCTGACCCTGAACTCACTATGTAGCCCAAGCTGGCCTCAAACTTGTGGCAACCCTTCTGCCCCAGCCTTTTGGGTGCTGCTCAGATCCCCAAATCTTTGTCAGGCAGTACTTACTAGGGAAACAATTTTAATGCAAAGTATTCAAATGTATAAGAACTTACAGGACTGGCTTACAGTTGCTGTCCACAGAGGCAGGTGTGGAAGGGTACAAAGGCCTGTCTGAGCAATGGAGATCTAAAGGGTCTAGCTGAAGGCCCAGATGGAGTTCACTGTCGTGTCCTGTGCAAGGCTGTGTCAGGAGGCTAAGGGATCTGGGCTGGAAGTCAGGAGGGTTAGGCAAGGACTGGGGCCCTTCTGAAGAAGCAGAAGTGAACAACACCACATCCAACTCACCATTATTAGCTAACAAGAAAATGCAAATTAAAGTTGTGTCAAAGCCCACTACCTACCCACAAGAATGGCTACAATTTTAAAAAATGGACAATGCTGAATGATGCACAGAAGTAAAATATCTGGAATTTTCAAATATTGCAGTCGTGGCTGTAAATTGGCACAACCACTCTGGAAAGCTGTTTTGTGATAGCAACTAAAATAAAAACTTGCCCTGTGACCCAGCTATTCCAGGAGGCTGTTCCTTTTCCAAAAGAAAAGGGTACCTGTATCTGTCTAGTGCTCACAGCAGCTTTAGTCAGAACAGCTAAAAACAGGAAGCAACCCACAAGTCTACTCACAGGAGAAGGGATGAACTGTGTTCTATTTGGGCAACCGAGTACTTTGCAACAATAAAAAGGAGTGACCTATCCAGATAGACGCAATGATATGGATGGTCTCCCAGACATTATTTTAAGTAAAAGAAGCCACACACAAAAGAACAGCTAGTCTGGTCATCTAAAGTTTAAAAATAGGCAAAACAAACCCATTTTGAAGAAGGCCATAGTGATTTGACTTGGGGCATATTACCTGGGAAGGGACATAAAGAGATCTCTGGCTACCAGAATCATTGATCTCACTCTAGATCATGGCTGTGACAGTAGACTCTGTACGCTGTGTGCTTTGCCTGTCTCTAGCAAACAGCTGAGACACACTTTCCTGCAAGCTTCCAGTCTAGTGAGGAGGACAGACACTACACAGTTAACTTCAGCAATGAGTTGGGTGCTGTGGCAGAGGAAATGGTGGTGGCTCTAGGTAAAAGGAGCAGGAAAACTCGGTATCCCGGGGATGGGAGGAGTCTTCCTAAAGAAGCAATGGCTCAGATAAAAGCACAAGGCAGAGAAGAGGATATTCCAGGCAGAAGGAGCACATGTACAATTCCCAGAGGTGCAGTAGTGAGGTACCTTTAAGGAGTTCAAAGCGTTGCCCAGGCAGAGCTCAGACTTGCAAGCCTCCTGCCTCAGTCTCCCAGAGTGCACCATCACACCCCTTGCAGGGGCTAATCCTTGATCACCCTCTTCTAAGGCCTCGGGCAGGCCAGGGCACTTTCAGGTAGGAAGCAGTCAAGAGCAGACATTTCCTGGTCTTAAAGAAAGGACCCCGAGTTTGAGGAGGTGAAACCTTGCAAGGCGGTGGGTGGTCCAGTGGGGAAGACTCAGCCAGGAAGAGGCCAGGAGCTGGAGAGCAGCTCAAGGGAACAGCCAGGAAGCTGGGAGGCCAGAAGCGCTGGATGGGGAAGAGGGAAGAGAGGTTTCTGCCCTGCGGGGAGAGGAGCACAGTTCAGACCCTGAAAAAGGCCTGCAGTGTTAGGGGCTTCGCCTGCTCCTCCTTTCCTCTTAAAAGGCACCTTAGGCTCCAAAAAGAGGCTTTCAATGCTCCGTGAGCCTTAGCAGCCTGAGTTGCCGAATCCTTTTGAATGGCGTTGGGGGCCCTGGCAGGAAGGGGACAGAAGTGGATCCTGGCTGAAGGCACCAGGTCTCAGTTTTCCGGTTGGTCCCATTGACCACGAAGGCCCCTCTCATTTACTGAGGAGTAAGGACAGAGAAGTTTGCCAGCGTGCATTGCAAAGACACGGTGGGGATGGCACAAGCAGAGGACTCCCTCCCCAGGAGTTAGGGTCTCTTGCTCCGACATCACCAGGTTTGGAGTCGCAGAAGGGATTGTGGCCCCGACAGCACCACCTCGTCCTGGGCAGGGTGGGTGACGATTAGACCTGGATAACCAAGAAGTTTGCAGATGATCGCTCCGCACAACCAGAGAGCTTGGAACTCCTCTGTCCCCGCTTTCCTCTGAGCTACCCCAGACATCTGTTCTCCAGGAAGAAGGGGAGTTAGAAGCACAGACCTGCCGGCAGCCCACACCTTTCATGCCCGGGTTAGGATCGGATCCTGCAGAGTAGAGGCCCCGGAGGCTCCCGCCCCGCCTGCTCCGTGTGTGTGCGTGCGTGTGTGTGCGTGTGTGTGAGTGTGTGTATGCGCGCGCGCGCGGGAGGTGGGAGCCGCTGCGTCTGGACGCGTGGCGGCGGCGTGGGCGCGGCGCTGCAGGTGTGAGTGACACGGCCGGGATCGCCGGGACCCGCAGAGCCCGAGCTGCCTGCGGGCTGCCGAGGAGGACGCCGCTCGGCCGGCGCCGGGTCCCCACCCAGGTAGGAGAGGGCGACGCGCGCTGCGGTGGGCGCAGCCCTGGCCGAAACGCGCTCGCCGGTACCGCGGAGCGGGGTTCCTAGCGCGCGGCACAAAGACCGAGCAGAGTCCGGGAAAGCGCGCAGAGAAGCCAGCGCCTGCCGGCTGCCAGGCTGCGCGCTCCTCGGAAGTGGCCTCCCCAAGGGCCGTTTGTGAAACCATTTGAACTATTAGCGCCCTAAATACTTGTGCAACTTAGCTTCTGACATTTATAGCTCCGTTCCCCTGAGCTTCCCGAGCCACTGCCGTTCTTTTCAGTTCTGTTCCCGTTGGATGGGTTTTGTTGTTGTTGGGCTGTTCTTGAGATTAAAATCATGCTTTGCACCTGGTTGCTCTGAGTCGGGGTTCGTGTGTGTTTCTGGATGTGGAACCCCCTCACCCCCACTCACCCCGCGGGCATGGGAGCAATGGCTTAGGCACGCCGAGGATTTGTTTATAGATGGGTTTTAGCGCATGGAAAACAACACGATTTGTTTTGCAGGGATGGGCGAGCAAATGCGTTTAGCCAGGGAGGAGCGAGGCAGGGCTGTTTCTTCCGCAGACAGACGCGAGCTCTCCGCTGCCCAGCGCTCAGCAGCAGGGCGGTGAAGCGCTACTCTTGATCCAGAAACCGCAGCTGAAAACCAGCTCGGTTTAAAGGTAACTTAACGTCCGCGTCTTGGGCTCTGATGAGAGGAGCCCGGTGAGGCGGGGTGGGGAGGTGAGCGACGCTTGCTGGATTTCTAAGCCTGTTTGGAAGTTGAATGTGAGGGCTCTGGGGGCGCAGGGAGTGGTGGGTGAGCATTAGGCGTTGTCATCAGCTCGGGGGCGCGCTGGTCTGCAGGGTCTCTTCTGGCCTCTACTTTCTGCCCTTTCCAGGGGAGGTGACTGATCCTGTTGGCGTTAGTGCATGCAGTAGGTGCAGCGAGCTTCATTCTGAGTCAGCAGATTCTCAGGCAGCACCTAATATGTGTCAGAGGTGGGATTAATCCTGGGGGTGCAACTGTGATGAGTCCCGGCTCCCCGCAATTTCCCACCTGCTGGGGGGAAGCAGCTGTAGTGATGTATGTGACATGTTCTGTAAGGGAGGTGTGAAAATGGTGCAGTGGTTGTAGAGAGAACCGTTCAAAAAGGAAGCCCCCACTGAGTTCAGCAGGGGTTCGTTTGCTCTCTTGGTCCCTTGGCCTGGGCATGACCCACATCACCTTACCAGGAAGGGCAGAGCAGAGCAGGCATCCTCAGTACTGACCAGAGGGCTGGCACTAAGAGGAGGGCACGCCCATTGCAGGTCACTCTGTAGTTCAGGCTGGCCTTGAACTCACTATGTAGCCCAGCCTGGCCTTGAACTCCTGGTGATCCTCCTGCCTCAGCCTCCCAAGTGCTGGGATTATAAGCATATGCCACCGCGCCCTGGCATGTACTTTTCTATATTTTTAGTAGATGATTTTCTGTGGTTCCAGATGCAGGGGCTCTGGAAAATTCTGAGGGAGTTTCGGAGCAGATAACGTCTGCTTCCTTCTTCCCAGGTCTCTGACCTGTCTGTTCTTGTGCTAGCCTGATTCAAAAAGAAAATTCAGAACTAAGATTTTCCTACATGAGAGGGATAAGGGAAAGCTAATGTTATTACTACCAGTCTGCTCTGGGAGAGGAAAATCCAGTCTCAAGGATGTAACTTCCTGCACAAAAGCTGTGGCAGATGATGCAAAATGATAGAATGGAGATCTGCACATTTGCCAGGTATGTGCGTGTTTGTGCCCCTCACCACCTAAACCATCATGCGGGTGCTTGGAGGGCAACCTGGAGCCCCCCAGGGAGCCCGGGCTTGGATGAGGTGGGTCACCTGATCCGTATACCTGTGACAATGGTAGGGCTGTTCTGATAATGACATAAAAGATACTTGAACTATGTCCGTTGCTGGTGATAATCACGTACACATTGCCTAGTACAAGGGGTTGCCCCTTGGCACCTCTAGCATGAGTTAGGCACGGCTGTATACATAAGGAATGCAGAATTGAACCAAAGAAAGCCCCTACCCTCACGGAGCTTTAGTTAATGTCTGCATATGTATATGTGTGCATATAATGGACGTACAGTAAAGTGCACACATAGCGTATTCACTAAGGAGACACTGTAAGGCAGACAAATAAAGCCGGGTAAGAGGCATGGGGAGTGTTGCCAAAGGGAGGAGAGGAGTGGGGCTTGCTATTTATTTTTATTTATTTATTTTTATGCAGCTCAGCTAGGGTGGTGTGCTGGTAAGTAATATTTGACCAGATCAGAGGAAAAGCAAGAGGAAGCCAGGCATTCTGGGCAGAGGACAAACATCTGCCAGTTCTGAGGTACAAGAAGGGTCTGCTTATAAGAGAGCCGGAAAGGAGGCCAAGGAGGCCATACTGGGTGAGGTGGGGGACAGTGTTAAGAGTGGCAGTCAGAGAGACAACACAGCAAAGTCACTGAGGTAGTCCCTATTATACTTTATGCTTGTCACTAACCTGTATGTACTGAGTTCTCGCTTAATGAATTAGCTGATATCTGAAGCCCCATATTTAGAGGAAGAGCGTTGGGTACCTGTAGACACCCCAGGTACACTCTGCCAGCACACAGGGGGCCCAGGTCTCTGTGAGGCAGTGGGAATGAGGGAGATCACCTGGTGAGCCACAGTGATCAGATCTCCTTCATTGTCGAGGACTGTGATTTTGGGTCCTTTGCTTTCCCCACTGAAGGAAAGGGTCACCTGTAGTGAACAGTTCAGTTGCTTTTGTTCTTGCTAGTTTTTATGCTTTTGTCTTGGAGGATGAGAAGAGTTTCCATGGTTTGGGAAGGTGTTGGGATCGTCTGGAAATAGATTGACCTTCCAGGTACGATAGATGGCATTTACGTAATGCCACATGGCAAGTTTATATGGGGCTTCCGTATTGTAGGCTTAATATAAACATTGCCATTTGCTGTTCCGTCCATTGTGACATCAGTCCTCTGGAGAAAGCATTGTTTTGGCACACAGCTGTCCTTGGTGCACTGCAGTGTGTGCCAGGGACAGAGTGGGGCTGGAACCTTGTGGAAGTGTCTGTGAAATAGGATGTGGCTGGGCTGGGTCCAGGTCAGGGTGTTTAGCTGGGTATCCCCCAAGTGACACCTCAGAGGGCACCATTTACTTCTGTAACATTTACTTCTCCCACATCCAAGCTCTGGTTTTGCTGTGTCTGAAACCTGGTCTGGTCTCTGATCTCTGTAGACCATTCTGTTGCTTTGAAATGGCTGAGACACTGTGTGACATGGCCAGCATGTCTTGTTCCTGCAGCACCCAGGCCATGAGACTCAAACCACAAAGAAGAGGGTCCCTGACGCACATTTATGCAGAGCAAAGCAGCTTAGTAGCCCCACACACATTAGAGGTGATTTTGTCAATGCCGTGTAGAACAAAGCCACACCCAAGCTTTGTGGCTTAAAACTACAACCACTTATTAATTTACTGATTTCTCCCATACCAGAGAGTAGTTTTCTCCCATACCAGTGGGGTGGCTGGACAGTTGTGCATGTTCAGTCTCAGCAGTGCTTGCTCTTGTGGTTTGGGCCTGCCTTCAGAGATGAAGTTGGCTGCTTTAGGATGGTCTGAGCTGGAAGGACTTGGCTCTGGTCCATGGGGTCCCCCACCCTCCCTAAGGTTGACCCAGCATGTTCGATGTAGTAGCAGTGGACCAGGACAAAGGGGTCTAAGCTTGAAACAGCTCGCCATCCATTCATCCTGTTTATTCACAAAAGTAAGATGCAGGCATCCAGAGGGAAAGGGCAAAAACATACTCAACTTTTTTGCTGGGAGGAGTTACATAAACACATTGTAAAAAGAATGAATATAGATATTTTGGATTTTTTTTGCATCTATAATGAGGACCTTGATATTTAAAGTTCCCTTGGCTCAGTTCTTTTTCTCTGTAGTTGTCCTTGTGACTTTTTGCTGTGTTTTCATGGCTGCCCATCTATAGACATACATATCCTTAGAAAACCTAATATTTGAGTGTTTTCTATGTGCCAAGCATGTTAGAGGTAGGGGACATAAGACAAAGAAAACAACCAACCAACCTACTAACTAGCCAACCAACAGACCAGTTAACCAATCACCCAACCAACCGCCCAATCAGCCAACCTCCAACCAACAAGTCAACCAGTCAACCAAGCAGCCAGTCACCCAACCATCCCCCATCCACCAAGATCTTATTTCATGAAGCATTCATCCTAGTTGGGGAGACAAAGTATATATAAATAAATGAGTAAATGTGCAATGTATCAGGTGATTAAGGAACACCGAGCAAGTAAGGGAGGTTGAGTGAACGTGGGAGGGGAGGAGAGAAGGTAAGGATTGGGTTTGTAAGGTGGCAGGGGAGACATGAAGGAAATGTAAGAGTGAGCCAGATGATAACTTGGGAAAGTTCTTTTAGGTAGGAAGAACCGTGAGTGCAAAGACCTTGAGGCCACAGAGCACTGGTGCATTCCAGGAACAGTAAGAAACCTCATGGAGGAGATCTGAATGGCCAGGGTGTGCATGGCAGAAGGTAAGATACAAAAAGTACTAGAAAGCCAGGTAACCTAGGGTGTTGCAGAAGCTTTGGTGGACTTAAGTTTTCACTTTGAGTGGGGTGAGAACCCACTGAAGAATCTTAAGCCCAGGATGTCCGTGCCTGATTTATGTTTTACAGTGATCGCTTGAGCTTGAGAACTTAGAATAGACTCGGATGTGTGTGTTGGGGGGAGTGTTGAACATGGGAGATTGGCCAGGAGGCTACTGAAGCGATTCAGGTGAGAGACGCTGGCAGTCTGGACCAGGTGGGAGACTGGTTGAGACGGAAAAAGTTGCTACATTGTGGATATAGTCGATGGTAGATGTAGACTGGTTGATAGGAGTCAAAGACGACCCCATATTTTGGCTTGAGCAATTGGATGAATCCTTTATTCCTGAAGAAGGAACCATTATGGGTTCAGTTGGATACCC